ACAAATGGTCTGGGGTAAATGCGCATATGCACATTAAATCTAAAAATTGGTCTATTGTTGGACTTTATTCAAACAGGGAAAAAAAATAACCAGGATAAAAAAAATAATACCTCAAGTAAATTTTGTCATAAAAAACAGCTGTAATTTTAACTAGGCTAGAAATTTACTTCATATACATATCTACTGTTGAAATAGACTTGTCAGAAGGCAATTAATTTTAATGGTGTTCAACTGGCTTGCAAAGACAAGCAGTACGGTATATGCATGCACATACCTTCTGATTCCATATACTGAATCCCAGTTTTTAGTTCAGCATCTGAGTACACATACTTCCAATTCTTGATGACTGGCTTCATAAATGGTTTCTCGTCTTCTTCTGTTAAGAGTCTTGCTGTCACACAAAGACATCTTGGCTGTTTACATGTAAATTACAATAAAGAGAAGAATTAAAATATAAACTGATACAAAACTGTGATTTTATTCATATTTTCACAGTGCAAATCAAGGACAACATCAGATGGCAGTCTAAACTTAATATACAAGTTTAAAATTATTTCTCAGTACTTATTCACTATTATAATGCTGTACCATTACTTTCACCATCCTAGTACAGCCAGATCTGAAGGCCTTTGCCGCATTCTGGCCAGGCTGTGTGGCGCGGATCGTGTGGACGGGTTTCATGTTCTCTGCACGTAGTAAGCTCGGTTATTAAGCCTCCTTTTTTGGGGATGCCCGGTGACTGAGGGGAAGACGTGTAGTGGCGTGAAGCTAGGTGATTAGGTGCTGTACGCGAGCGCTGGTTTGAGTCACGCACGCAGTACGTGTTTACTATAATTTGACGTAGAATTTACCTTGCCGTTTATTAGGTGTTATTCGCTTACTAAACTTAATATATGATGGATACATGTTGTTTTATCATTAACTCGTATCATATGTTTCCCTTTTCTCAGTGAAATCTGACAATCTGAGAAACATTCCTTTCATGAATTTTGTATTCAAATAAACTTGATTCAAGGTGGTTTTCAGATAAAATCACAAAATTTCTCAAAAATTGCTGGTATTGTCATAAAACCTTTTTTGAATCACCTTTATGTGCCAGGCTCATTGCTGATTAGATGACACTAAGGTAATTTTAAAATTATATTCATCAGCACCAGTTGCCATCAAATCCACAGTTGCTGTGATTGGTTGAACTGTTTCAACTGCCATTTTGAGTTTCTAAATGTGATATGAAGGGCGGTGATCATTGCCCTCATGTCCTGTTCGATATGAGACTCACAGTGACGTACACAACTCATTCAAAATACATTGTTTGTTTACATGAATTACGAACACGCACTGCGTGATGATCACCACCCTTTACAGTGCCTGTGAAATGCAAAATTGCAAAAATAATTCCAATAACATCTTGAACGAATTTCACCTTGAATTTCGGTCTAACCATGAATGTGTGTTTTGTTGCATCAAATTATAAATCTAATTTTAGGAAAGAAGCTGATGATCTTAGTATCGAATATGATACAGGGTCAAGCGATTGACCAATAAAAAGTGTACATTCATGTATCAGGTCAATGAATGCATCCAAACATGGTACAGATGTCTGAAGTTTTATTTTTCATAATACCTGCCAGGCTGCCATGCTTGCTGAAGGTCTACTAATGTAATGCAATATTATGCTCTTGTTAACAGATGCAACATTATGTTATTCTGTTAGTCTGGCTAAAAAACTATTTAACTCTATTATCAAACCCACAGCTTTATATGGGGCTGATGTGTGGGGAGGGGTTATGCAGAACATCTACAAGGGGTCTGGTAAAAATAAATGTACAGTTGACAATTGCAATTTTGAAACAAAACTTTTCTCAGATAAATTAATTCCAGAAAAACTTCATATTGAATTCTGTAAAATAGTTCTGGGTGTGCACAGAAAGGTATCTAATGACCCATGTAGAGGTGAATTAGGTCAATATCCACTTATATTGGATATTTGTGTTTCAGTTATGAAATATTATCAAAGACTAGTATGTAAAAAAACAAACAATTCTATCATTGATGCAGTCTATGAAGAATTCAAAACTTGTGTGCATGACCCATAGCTTAACTTTATACAAGAATTACTAGTCATAACAGGTCTAACTAATTCAGACCCACATCAGAATAATTTTTGTGATATTTTTAAAGAGAAGCTCAAATGTTTGTACCGTATGAAGTGGAAAAACAATTTGTTGAACAATTGTAAGCTTGACTTTTACAGGTGTGCTAAAGAAAATTTTTAATTTGAACATTATTTAGAGAAAATTAAAAATAAAAAT